CTTCGGGTTACCCCTTTCATTTTAAGCTAGTATGGAAATGCACTACCGGGTCTAGGACAATTTTTATTTATTTTTTCGAATTTTTCAGTGAACATCACGTCCAAACATTAACTCAAACAATGTACGGAAAAATGACCCCCGATAGAAAATTTTAAAACTAGCCTCAAACGAAAGAGGGGGCCGTATTAAGGTGCACCTACAAATCAACACCATGCTGGAGGTTGTTGGGTTCGATTCCTAGCCCGATTTGGGATTTTTTCGGGTTGGAAAATTTCTCGACTTCCCTGGGCATAGAGTATATGATTGAAATTGCCACACAATTATACTAATGCAAAAATGGTACAGGCATCGAAAGCTCTCAATTAATAACTGGGAAAGTGAACCAAAGCACTAAGTTTAGAACATGCAGTAAGCTTATATACGTTAAGCAACAAGCTTAAAATGCGAAAAATAAGAAGAAGAAACGAAAAAGGAGCACCTAAGATTACGTTTGGTGGGTCTTTTAGCTATACTGATATGTTTATAATAATGTCATCCTACCAGAGACACCGTGAATTAAGTGATCAATTTACCCTTTTGAATTCATCTGAAAGTGAAACAGATAGTTTTCTGCTGCATTTACCGGATTAGCGCTGGCGATCTGCCTCCCGGACGGTTATACGTGTGTGATTAGTAGTTTTCTCGCTTTCCGGTAACTTTTAGAATCGAGAAAGAAAACGTGATTCATCATGTTTGCAAGCATCAGAAGAGATGTCGCAATCTGCGTTGTTTGTTTTTTCTTCACTTGTGCTCCCGGTCCAGAAATGTGTGGCATCGCGAGTGATAGTTTTAAACTTCAGTTTATTTATGCGTGTATGATTTTATGAGCGGTCGCTGCAAGTTGCCGTAAATTCGATCATTCGGGTGAGACCTTTCCTTTTTGTTTGCTTACATTTTATTTTATTGGATTGGAATTAAAATTGAGGAGCTCGGCTAGCTTGACGGCTACCGCTTTTGCTCACTGAGTAGAAGATCGTGGGTTTATTCCCAAGCTCCACCAAAACAAAACAATTACTATGGTCACATTGCCTGCTTAAGCGAATCCTGACCCATCTCCTACCCAACTTTCCAACTCCGTAGCATCTATGGGGGCATCGGTGAGTCGCTGGCCTTCCGTTAAGTAGATGGTACATCAACAATATCATTCCTTTCTCCGTAACGGAGAAGATGGGCGTAGCCGGCAATGGTAATTGTCATGCGCTTCCTATTTTGAATTCTGATTGGAGAGCTATTAATTCCCAAATAGTTTTCCTTGAGCAATTAGAATAAGAATGTTAAAGTAGATACACGACAGTTGCCAGTATGCAACCTACGAATTACTCCGTTACAAACACAACGCAAATACATCCGAAAGTGAAACAAGCTTTATTTAGTTTTATCATCCATAACTTTCACGCCAAAGTCGTCAGGTTCAATCTCATCCGCAGACCAGTCACGAATGACCCAAGAGTGTTAAAGTAAATATACAATAAATTGAAAACAAATATTAACATTCACATCATTCTTAAATTTCCAATGAAAATATTTGAGTGATAATAAAATGAGCCATAATGAATTCCAAACAAACTTTTCGATCTCAATTCCGCATAGCGACTGTCTCACTGATTTTTCCTACACCCGCAAAGAAAAACGCTTTGCCCGATCCTAATTAAGCCATTCTATCAATTAAGCAATTGCAAATGAGACTGGGGAAAAGCCACCATTTCCCAGCAGAAAGGCAATCTGCATTTAGTCTAACTTCTGGCAGCCTCGCGTTTCGTTTACAAATCCGCGGATCAACGGAGCAAAGAAGAAAGCGCGCAAAATTGGATTCAAAGAAATCCGAATGGATTTGGGTATCGATTTCCCACAGTCAGTTATTCAACATTCTTTCCAAGACTGGGATCGGATAGCTATAGCCAAGGAAGAAATTTTCCGCATCTTTTGATTCATTAAGAGTCGTCGCGGAAAATGTGCTACTGGGGAGATACATAAATGATGGATGAAGAATTTCCGACCTGCTTAACATTCCGCAGTTGGAAAAGAGCTTCTTCGGTTACGAAACATAATCAGATGCAAGGCTGAAGAATTATCATTTTCCAGCTTCAACCGTCCCGGGAATCCAGATACAAAAATAAACCTGCCTTGGTACGTTAGACAGAGAACAATCCTCCCTCTTAAAAAATATGCTACCGACAATCAATGAGAAGAGATAATGTGCTATTCCTTTTTTTTCTACACGCTTTTCCCGTGGCTCTGTGGGAAAACGTGGATCCCCTGGTTGCCTTGGACTCGAAGGAAAGCTTCATTCACATTGCGACAAGACCTTTTCGCGCAGCTTCGCACAATACGAGCTATTGATTGGAAAATCAATACCATTTGCGTCGCTCCAGGAGTCTCTACTTACTTTTACGCGTGCTTTTCAGCACAGACAGCAGCAATCGCGGCACGGAGCAATGAAATTAGTGTTGACTGTTTAGGATTAATTTGATAACCAGGGAAGATGTAAATTGCAGGCTATTGACGTTTCTTTACCATTCAGATTTGATTTTCAATTTGGAAAGCTATAAATAATATTTATGATACGTAAGAGTACTGCTACATCGTTCGATAGAATTGTGCGTTCACATTGCTATATAGAAGGGGAAACGTCCGGGGTTGGTAGCTACTCCATACTTACACGCAAAACAAATGTATCTTACATCAAATGTAAGGTGGGATTTATCACATCCTCTGCATTTGTTTCATGCAACACATGTATTGGCAATTTTTGCAGCGTGCAAGCAAATTTTTCCAGAATGCATATTTTCGTATAAAACCTTCAAGAGAGGATTTTCTAGACCCAGTGCATTTGGGGTAACAAATTTTGTTCGAAAAAAAAGCTAACGTAAAATATATAAAATTATTTTAAAAACGGTCCGGCGACCACATTACAGGATCTGTTCATGTAACGAAACATTAAAAATTCCGCATACTTTTCATGCAAATCTGTAATAAAATCATACATTTCTCGGTTGGGTGTATTCCACCAACGAGCAAAGCATTCACCTGCACCTTCGTGGAATGCGTCGTTGGAATATATAATGTCGTACTAGGGAGGGGGGAAACTTTTCATATGTCATATGAAGCCAGATTGCAACGTGTAATCAATTATCATTTTCGCGTCTCTAAAAAAAAATCAAAGTGCTGTAACTTTCCAATATGTGCATAAACATTTCTGAAGTTTTGACTACTCGTGGATCATATAGTCAAAATTTATTGGAATTGTTTTGGACATGATTGGCAGAGGAAAAGAAGTTTCACCAGTTTTAGTAAAGGAAGTTTCACCAGTTTTAGTAAAACTTAAACAATCTTATTTGACTATCATTTTTCAAATTGTTATTTCGTAAATCACAATTTACCAAATGAGTTTTCTTTTTTTTTTTCATTTTTAGTCATAACATTAGTCTTTTAATACGTTTAAATTTTACTGAAACCCACGATACAAAAAAAAAGTCAAAAATCTCAGCCCAGGGCTAAAAGTCTCCATATAAAAAATATGGTCAACCGAATAGCATCATTTTAGAATGTTAAATGGAGACATTTGATTTTAAAAATAATTTTACAAACACTATACATTTTTTTTAGTATTTTAGGAACGAAGAAGTTGAAACTCATGGCCACAACATGAAGAACCAAAGCGGCTTAATTGAAAAACTAGCCAATTTTCTTGTAAAGTGAACTTAAAATCAATTTAATTCTTATTTAATTATTTAATTATGAACCGATGTAAAGAATCATGGTTTGACTACAATTGAAAAAAAAAAAATAGTTCAAGGGATTATAAAAGGTTAAACTTTATAAAAACTCAGACAATCAAGCTCATAACTCATAACTATACCTAATTTGATAATATTTGATCGACCAGCAGTCAAAATTAAAAAAAAAATTATTTCAGATTGCAGATTTTTCGGATTTATTTATTTCCTCAACCAACGTAGACTGGTACAAATACATTAACAACGCTTTTTCTAAAAACCTCTTTGAAAAAAGATATTGTTTTAAATCTGTCTGCTTTCCTTTTTCTCTTCCTATGAGTTTTAATTCCATATTGAGTAAAAATATTGTTTTAGTTTATGGCGAGACATTGTAAAGTTAATGGGTTCGCAGTATTGATTGGAAGAATCCATAATGCAATTTAATGGCGCATATTTTTAATACCTTGTGCGATGATTATTCATGGCAAATAAATTTTGATTTGGGAGTTGCCAAGTAGATTTATAAACATTTAATTGTGATAAAAGCTCTGTTGATTCAATGCGTTGCGAAACGATACCGTTTACAAATGAAACCATTGTATATTAGGGTGAGACTTTTTAACAAAATCATTATTTGTGATTATTTCAATTGAATTTTTAAAACTATTTAATTTTTTCTGCACATCATATGAAGGATTCAACTTAAAGAGAAAAATAATTTGTGCTTATTTCAATTAAATTTTTCATAATTTTGTTTTTTCAAAGAGCAGCTTATTCTGTAAAGAAGGAGTCAAATCCAAGAAAGATGTAACATTTTCAAAAGCTTTATCTGTCAAAAACAGCTAAAGATTCAAAGAAGGAGTCAACTCCATGAGCAACATAAATTATGACTTTTTGATGATATAATTTTTAAAAGCATTTAAATTTGGACCATTAAATCAGAAGATGGCAACTAACAATAAGCATAGTGAAACTATTGACTTTACAATGACATAAACCACAGTGAGGCAAAACTTCAATTCTAATCGTTAATTACAAACACACAAAAGTATAACAATGCATACTAGACACTGTTTAGGCTAGTAGTTTTGCTTATTTTATTTTTCAGCAGTAGGACGTAAAATGTAATTATCATTGTAACAAACCGGTCAACTCTTGATTAATGACAAATAAATAAATAGAAATCAGTTTCGTTATGGTCATCAGTAATTAATATTATTCCATAAACTAATTCACTATTTATAGACACAACGAAGATGGGTCCTACACGTACGGTTACGAAGGCGCCGATGGTTCTTTTAAAATTGAAACTAAATTGGCCACCGGTGAAGTAAAAGGCAAATATGGATACGTCGACGAAGCCGGCAAGGTAAAGGTTGTCGAATATGGAGCAAACAAATACGGATTCCAGCCATCCGGGGAAGGAATCACAGTCCCGCCACCAACTCTAGTCGATGAGACCACCAATAAAGATGCCCTACTGGATTACGAGGAAAATCTTCCTGCTCCACGACCACAGGTAAGTTTGACGCAAATGTTCGCTACTATTACGGGCAATTAATCACTTTGATTCCAGAAGCTTCGTCCATCGAAACCACGAGTGCAGGAAGCTCCACAGCATCGTCCACAGCCCCAGCCACAACCACAGTACTACGACTACGAAGAAGAGCAGCAGCATGCCCAGCCACAGCATCAGCCTCAACAAAACTTCCAGCATCAGGCTCAACAAAACTTCCAGCATCAGCCACAACAAAACTTCCAGCCTCAACCACAAGCAAGATTCCAGTCACACCCTCAGCAGCCACAATTCCAATATACGCAGAATTCTAACTTCGGCTCGGCTACTGGTCCCGTTCCTCCACGCCCCCAGATCGCAAATGCCGTCCCAATTGATGTAGTTTACTCGCCCAAGCAACGCCCCGCTCGTCCAGAACCCGATTACGACACCCGACCACAGACCTTCCCAAATGTTGCACCAGCAACAGAGCCTAAGATCCGCTATTCGGCACCGGCATTCGCTGCCGCTGCGCCAGCACCGCTTCCAAAGTCCAATGTAATTATCAGCTCCTTTAGATTTAGCTCATAGTAGCTTCCATGATCGCACAATTTAAATTATGCTTCACCAATCAAATGCTTTTTACCTGCTTATCTTACAGCCTGCACCTCAACCTGCCTACGCACCACAGCCACATCCTGCTCCAGCTGTCTACCAGCCACGACCAGCTCAAGGGCGTAGCACTAGCATTCTAGATCAGCTGGCCAAGGATTACGCCCTGCCACAGGGTGGATCTGCTGCACTGCATGATATCTCATTCGGTTACTACTGAGATTTTTTGTAACGACGAGTTGAGAGAGAAATTGTAGCTGTCTTTGCTTTCGCCAGCTTCAGATAGCTGAGCTTGCCAAAAGAAATGTGAACTACCATCAACAAAAATTGTGGAGATTGATTGCGGTGATTGTTTATCACGCAAGGCGAAGATTTCGGAATGTTGAATGATATTATAGAACTGATTATTGTAATTGAAAATAAAAAAATCGTCAAACACTGTAGTGAGTCGTCTATTCTTGATCCCGGATTGTCACCCCGTAGCTTTTACCCCCTTGATAATAATAGTTGAGCTTCCATGAGTCGATGGTTTATGAGCTTATATCGAGTAGGAGATTTATATTGTAAAATGTGAGATTACTACGTCAAAATTATTTGTTTAATAATTTTTACTACTACTATATGCAATTTACTCAAATTTGACTTATTTGGGTGACCCCGGAGATGAGGGAAAAGTACTTAATTCTGCGTAGTTTTTCATCACCGTATAGCAAAATGGAAGAACCCACTATAGAGTTCTCTACCACCGTTAGTATTAGTGAGCAGTTTCACTTATACAAGTGAAAATAAAAAAAACAAACCGCTGTCAAGTCGACAAGACAGCAGATTTCGTGGTTGAAAATAATAAACAAATCGATAGCTACAATAGCAACGTTGTATTGGTGAATCTTGCGGCAAGAAGTCAATAAAAAAGACCGACTTTCATCGTACTCGTCCTCTTCTTCGTGCGACAACTCGTCAATAACTACCGTCATCAGCGAATAACAGAACAACAACAAACCAAGTGAAACCAAAGCGAAATCATTAAAATTGATGTGTATTTGTAGCATTAATGAGAAAAAGTAGTGAAATAGTTAATTTAGTGAATAAAGGAGGGACTTACGTGTGTCCTCCATATTCTCGAAAATGGAAAAATAGTGGAAAAGTAAGGAAAATAAACGCCGAAAGAACTGTAGCAGCGATAGTCCTCGTTGTGCTTGGTGGTGCGATCGAAATTGAGTACAGAATCATTGTTCTGCCTACTGATATTCGAACATTTCTCGATTACTTTTTCGAAGGGACGTATCAGCTTTTGTAATCAATGCATTTGATCGTCGATTTGACGTAACTGGTAGCGCGCCCACGCATGTTAACACTACCATCAGATAGGGGAAAATTTTCCCCTACCTGAAAGTGGACGAGCTACCAGTTACGTCAAATTGACGATCAAATGCATTGTTTATAAAAGCTGAAACGTTCCTTTGAAAAAGTACTCGAGATTTGGTCCTTCGAGCTGGATTGGCCGTCGAAACTTCGGCATTTCCGGAACCTTCCATGGAAAGCAAACCGCCAACGCACTCGTGAAACAAGTCACGTATGATCCACCATCGCCATTGTTGGGATCATCATGTAAAATCGTAGGATTCTGCCATCATTCCTGTTTCTTTAAATTCTAATACTAGATAAATTGATTGCCTTTAAAATCTTATCAATATTCCTATTAGATATCTTTTATCCGTTTGAGCTACGCGGGCTTCCATTTTGTAGCCGTCACTGGTCGATTTCGGTTAAGTATGCGGCTTAAGCGCCACTCCGGTAAAGGAGACCGCATGCCATGTTTAGTTTTGCCCGGATGAGACTGCCTCAGGGCGAGTCCAAGAGTAATCTTCCTAAAAAGAAGAGATCGAGCCAGCCTCACTACCACCGAAATTGAACGGGTTGGCTTTATTGCAAAAACAGCATAATCTCTCACACGTCGAAATATTTCCCCAATGCTCACGGTAAGAGAGCACACAAACCTAAAACGTTACACGTCAAGCTTTCCTCATCGGTAGTTCCACTTATTTCCGCCAGAGGTGCAGTTGCAGCAAAAGAGGTACGCAACATAAAGTCAAACTCCGACCACGCGGAAGACATCAACAGAATTACACGGACCCGAAACAACGTGAAGACACTTTCTTCCTCTCATTCTTATTTTAAATAGGGGAAATGACGGCTTCGGCATGACAGACTATTTTCGGCAACCCAAATTGAAACACTATTTTCACTGGATTTTCTTACGAAAACAGTTCGCTGAATGCATGCAAACGATTCTTTGTGCTTTCAGTTTCAATTTGACATGCAGTTCAATTGGAACGGTTGCCGAAGAAAAACTGGTTGCCGACAATACTCGCTCTCACTAGAGAAGGTTGGAGCTTTGTGTGCGTTCCTTAGAGAAAAAGGCTATAGAAAGAAGGTCGCTGCTTAGGTTGCCGAGAATACGTAAATTCCCCTAGGACAACATTACATCGAAATCAAATCAAACATTTATTTCACAACGGAAAACAGTAAGCTGAGATTTGATTATAACTAATATATAAATTTCCATTGCTTGTATTTTTCTACTCCACTTTATTATCTTTCTCTACCTAGTCCTATTCTTGTGTGCGTAACTACCTTCTATCTGTGCTGTGCTCTTGTGTTTCTTCCTGATGAATCCTACGTCGATGCAGCAAGCGGGGAACGGCAAAGCTTGGCACCCGGTTGTCTAACATTGATGGGTAGGGTGGGCATCCATATACGACGATACGTGCGCACGTTTGTCTTGCCGACACCCAAACTTACAATTATTGGCCTAATCCAAATATTAGCAATTCATGCTCTTCGACCTTATGGTCGGCAAAAACGGTCCTCCGTGGCGCCCTCGCCGGACGCCACACTCAACGAAAAAAACAGAACGGACTCACCAGTTGATTTAGCTGCTGATGATTGCTGCGCTTCTGTTACTGGCGCGGCGACGATGCTACTTCAATCGATGCGCGTTCGACCGTTGGTGTTGAACGGCCAACGATTTCCACGTGGGTGGATGAACCACAAAGCCCCGCTCAGCGATGTAGATGCGGATCGCTTTCCACCGGACAAGGTGATGGTTGCCGGGATTATTGCAGATGATGACGTTGGAAACGTAAACGTAGCCGTCGGCTGGTGAAAAGAACATTTAGCACAATACACAGATTTTCTTTAACGAGCACATTACCTGGTCTAGCTTATTTTTCGCACACACAAAGTCTAGCCTAAGACGCACACTACGTTTAGATTTATTGTTATACTAAACAAACAACGAGGAGAAATTAGAATGGAAGTATAAAAGTACAATCATGTTGCTTTAACTCACTTCACAACACGAAACTATCACGCGAACAAAATGAAACACTTCCACTGCAATCTGCGGTTCGGACGAAAGTGAAGCGAAACCGTGACCTCGGATTAGGTAAGGCCGAACTTACCGGAAGTTCGATTTTCCTGCGAACTTCTTCGAACGAGATCGGTAATGCGAGAGATTATTCCGATCGCTGGTCCTTCGTTCAAAGTCGGGTGTAGCCACACTCTCTCTTTTCCCAACTTTCCCGAAGATTTCACTGGACTCGGCCTTGGGAGAAATTGTACAAGGTCGAGTGGCTTAACTCACGAGGCATTCTATTTTAATAGTAAATCGGATTTACTATTAAAATAGAATGCCTCGTGAGTAAAGCCACTCGACCTTGTACAATTTCTCCCAAGGCCGAGTCCAGTGAAATCTTCGGGAAAGTTGGGAAAAGAGAGAGTGTGGCTACACCCGACTTTGAACGAAGGACCAGCGATCGGAATAATCTCTCGCATTACCGATCTCGTTCGAAGAAGTTCGCGGGAAAATCGAACTTCCGGTAAGTTCGGCCTTCCCTAATCTGAGGTCACGGTTTCGCTTCACTTTCGTCCGAACCGCTATAGTTGGCATAGTTTTGGCGTATAGATTAGATCTATTTCATTCTTATTTTATGTTTATGAGTGACTGTTACAATTTTTCACATCGCTCTGGATTCCATCGCCATCACTACCGCTGCTTCATTTAATGATACCGTGGACCCCCGGTAATCTGACCGGTTTATATCTGGAAACTTTTTAGATTGAACCCCGCTAATATGAACGCCGTGGAAACTAAAAACTGCTGAAACGTCATCAGCATATGGAATGGAGGAAAGCGAAATGAAACATTGTGAAACGGAAGGCAAAATCAAAACAAAACTGCAAATAAGGATACCAGAGACATGCATTTCTGATGCTGATAGGGAGGGCGCCGGTGCGTGACTGCTTTCCGATCCCAATGGGTCTGGGTTCAATCCCTGCCGAGGTCGATGAGATTTTTCTGGGGCATAACAATCTCTGGTCACGTTTTCCTTCGGAAGGGAAGTAAAGCCGTTGGCACCGACCCATGTGTGTTGAATGGGTGCGATATCCTACGCAGGTGTGGAAGATGCCTTCCTGCACATTCGATTGCCGTCAATGGATGGCAACCGATGTTCGTCGGTGGTTGGCACTAGATTTCGGAACAGAGACCGACGTTAAATAAAGGATGGAAGAAAAAAAAATGCTGATAGGGTTACTAGTTTTGCAAATTAATAATGAACCCGTTAATATGCATGAAGTGTCATTCAAATAAGCGGGGGTCCATGGTATAAGGCACTTATTGCCTTCGAGAAGGCCATTAGTTTTCCAATCATCCATACTTCCCGTGTATTGTTTTACAGACCCTGTTCAAATTTTCACAATTTCCACCAAGTAACGCATCAAAGGCCTAAAGACGAGGAAAAATCGTCTTCTAGCGTCGTTCGGATTCATCAAGACGTTCGTCGACACGTACGAAGAGGAAACCGGAGCTTGCAAGATTCCGGAACGGTTGGAAAACCTGGACACCGTGTGGACCAATTTCAAAGAGGTTTAGTCAGACCCTCGATGAAACTGGTATAGACCAGCAGTTGAAGCAGCGAACAGATTTCGAAACTTTATGCTCGAGTTGTCCAATATCCAAAAGTTTTACTATCTTCGTTCATCTTTGGCTGGAGACAACCCTGAAGTTGGTTCAAACCATTCCACTTAGTACCAACAACTATCCAGTCGCTTGGAATTTGCTGGTAGACCATTACCAGAATACCTCGACGCTCTTTTTGAGTTCCCTTGTGCGTTTATTTCGTTTCAATTTTAAGTTTAGTTTAGAATAACTATGGTTAGCGGCGCCGGTGGTGTAGTGGTAAGCGTGATTAACTCTCACCCCAGCAGGCCTG